TGTTCGTGTACGCCCCACCCCACTCATTCCGGAACACCCCTCACACTTTCCGTGTCCCAGTTGGGAGCGCCACCGAAGACGATGCTCAGAACTGCGTTCCTCACAATTGCATATGGTCTGGTCCTTCGCCGGGTTATTTTTCCATGCGTTTTTTGAAAGGCTGCATTCTGAACTGCGTCGAAGACCAGTGGCTTTGGACGGGGAATTTTCCCACGCAGGTAACCCTTCACGCAACATCCGCAGCAAAGAGGAGTCGCCGAAGCGTGCCAGCCAAGTAAGAGGAAGGGAGGGAGGGAGCAGGCAGGGACGCACTAGGAGGAGGAGGAGGAGGAGGAGGAGGAGGAGGAGGAGGAGGAGGAGGAGGAGGAGGAGGAGGAGGAAGGGAGGGAGGGAGGGAGGGAGGGAGGAGCACGCAGGGACGCACTGGGTTCGGACGGATCTCGGCACCTTCGCGTGGCGGCGCGCGCGCGTGGCCCGCATGGTGCCATCTGCTCGGGATTCGTGCGCTGGACGCGTGCTGGACCACCCCGGACGCACCGCGCGGTCAAATGAAACCGCAGGGATGGGGGCGGGGTTGCTAAACTCCTACCCTCGTCAAAATTAACCTCAAAAGTTGCTGGCACGTCATTTCGATTTCGGCGCGCCCCTCAATGTCGACACGCCGCCCCTTCAATGTTGGGGCGATGGCAAAGATAGTCTGACCGAAGTTGACTCGAAAGCTTGACGTCGACCGACATTGGAGGGGCGGCGCATGCAAGTACCCCGCACTCATCGATACTCGGCCCCAGATCTTCCGACAAGCAGTTCAACCACATCAGACATTTTTGAGGTCAATTTTGACGAGGGTTGTCGTATGGCTTTCCCATGACTTCAGCAGGTGCGCGCGGGCAGCTTTTCTTCGCAAGGTGTGTGATGACAAACCTGTGGATTGCGTAGGTTTTTCCCAATCATTCGGTGGTGTTGCGTCTTTGCTTTGAATCCGCAGCGCCGCGCTCCACCTCACCTCCTTCTGCCCTTTTCCCCTTGCGCCCATCCGTGCCTCTGCACTCCGCCCCTCCGCATGGCCATTTCGGCCAACTCCTTCTACGTTTCGTAGGCCCGTAAGGGGCTCCATCTGAAGCCACACTAGGTGTACACATGCGTCCGCCCCATCCATGCCAGCAAACGCATCACACGTTTCGTGGCCCCAAAGGGAGCTCCACGTTAAGGCCACACTCTGTGTGTCCACACGCGTCCCCACAACAATTTCGGCACACCCCTCACACGTTTGGTGGACCCCTAGGAAGCTCCACCTCAGGCCACACTGGGTGTGTCCACATGCGTCCGCCCCCCCCCCCCCCGCAGCAGTCACACGTTTCGTGCCCCCATGGGAAGCATCGCCTAAGACCACACTGGGTGTGCCCACATGCGTCTGCCCCAACACTTTCGGCACAACGCTCAAACGTCAGGTGCCCCGACAAGGAGCTCCACGTAAGGCCACGCTCGGTGTCCACATGCGTTCGCTCCGCCAATTTCGGAACAACCCTCACACGTTTCGTGGCCCCACAAGGAGCTCCACGTAAAGCCACAATGGTTGTGTCCAAATGCGTCCGCTCCACCTATTTCGGTACACCCCTCACAAATCTCGTGCACCCATGGGGAGGAAAACCTGACGTCACATTGCGTATGCCCACATGCGTCTGCCCAACCCATTTCGGCTGCATGCGTCCCCCCCGCACATGTCGGCACATCCCTCACACGTTTCGTGGCCCCACAGGGAACGCCGCCAACGACTCCTGGTGTTCGCATGCATCCGCTCCATCCATTCCGGTACGCTCCTCGCACTTTCGTGGCCCCATAAGGGGCCCCACCTTAGGCCACAGTGGGTGCGTCCACGTACGTCCGCTCCACGCATTTCGGCACACCCTCACGAGTTCTGTGATTCCATCGGGAACTCCACCTAAAGCCAGATTGGGTGTGTCCACGTACAACCGCCCCACCCACTTCGGCACACCCGTCACGCGTTCCGTTGCCCCATGGGGAGCTCCACCTCAGGCAACACTGGGTGCGCCCACATGCGTCCGCCCCGCCCATGTCGGCACACCCATCACATGCTTCGTGGCCACATAGGGAGCTCCACCTCAAGCCATACTGGGTGCGTCTACGTGCGCCCGACCCCCCATTCCAGCCCACTCCTCACATGTTTCGTGGTCCCATAGTGCGCTCCACCTGAGGTCCAGTGGGTGCGTCCACATGCGTCCGCCCCGCACATTCCAGCATATCCCTCACTCGTCTCGTGCCCCACAGGGAGCTCCATCTCAGGCCACGCTGGGCGCGCCCACATGGGTCCGCCCCCTCCTGATTCGGCAGACCCATCGCACGATCCATGGCCCCATAGGGGACTCCTCCTAAGGCCACGCTGCGTGTGTCCACACGCATCTGCCCCACCCATTCTGGCACACCCCCCACGCGATTCGTGGCTCCGTAGGGGGCTTCACCTGAGGCCTCAGTGGGTGCGTCCACATGCGTCCGCCCCACTAATTTCGGCCATTCGCATGTTTTGTGTGTGGCCCCATACGGAGCTCAAGCTGAGGCCTAAATGGGTGCGTCAACACGGGGCTCCCCGCTCATTTCGGCGCACCGTTCACACGTTTGGGCGTTTCGTGGCTCCATAGAGAGCTCCCCCTCCTTCGTCCCGCCTGCCGTGCGGCATGCGCACTCGCACATGGGTGGGTCCTTCGCCAGGATAGCTATATGTTTTGAAAACCTTGCGCAACTGGTGTGTGTGTGTGTGTTTGTGTTGGTCTGATTTCGACATGTGCGCGCGTGTGGACTCTGTTTGAGTTCTGTGTAAAGGGTTCTTCGGTATTGGATCCTCTGCGATAGACATAGGTGCACGCATCGTACTATTTGATATGGGCCAGGAGGCGTAGGCGATAAAAAGGGTCTGCTTGGGCTGGTGTGGATTCAGACGCAAAATGAACGGTGAGGCAGGGACGTATGCAATTTGCAATGTCCTGGGGGGGGGACGTTAAGTCCAGGGGGGGAAGGTGGCACAGTCCATTTTCTTAGAATGGATGATACACGTGGTGGTGCGACAACGAGGCGACACTGGGCGGCAGCGTTGCGAAACCTCGGCGGGTCCCCAAGCGCGGCGGCAACAATGCAGCAACGGGGCGCAACTTCGGCGGACCCCCCCAGGCGTGGTGCGGGCCATAGCGAGGCTGCAGCGGGCGGCAGTGTGGCAGATCTCCCGAGCGCGGCCGGAACGCGGCCGCCACAAGCGGCACCGTGGCGAGAACCCGGCGGACCCCCCCAGTCGCGGCGGGCGGCAGCGGGAGGCAACGGGCGGCCACGCGGCGAGGCCTCGGCAGACCCCCCCGCCCCAAGCGCTGCGGCAGCGAGGCGGCAGCGGGCGGCAGCGTGGCGCAGCCGCGGCAGGCCCACCCGACCTCTCAGCGACCCAGGTCAGCATCCCCAAGTGCACGCACGGCGTGGGGAAATCGAAGCCCCTAAAATTGGAAGCACAGCGCGGTGGGCGGCAGCGAGGCGACCACGAGGCGGCGACGCGGCGAAGCCTCGGCGGAGACTCTCCCCGAGCGGGCGGCCACGAGGCGGCGGCACGGCGGAGCCTCGGCGGGTCCCCCCCGAGTGGGCGGCCACGGGGCGGCCAGGGGCGGCGACGCGGCGCTACCTCGGCGGGCCCCCCCCCCGAAAGGGGTCGCAAGGAGGTGACCACGAGGCGGTCACGGGCAGCAGCGTGGCGGAACCTTGATGGAGCCATTGGATTTCTGAACGGCACAGGCAAGGACTCCTAAAAATGCAAGCGCTGTTTGGGGAAGCAAGCACGTGGCGCAACCCCGGGATCGCGAGTGGACACCCGCGATCACTGTTGCATGTTTTTTTTTTGGGGGGGGGACAAGGATGGCTGGTGTGTGATGATATTCGTCCGCTGTGCGCATGATACGCAAATCAAGCGCCACTGCGCACCGATTGTGGGTAAACAACAAACACCCCGTACCATGCTGACCACCCGCTGGCACTTTCCAGTGACTTTGTTTGACAAGGACGGTGGGGGTGGTGCCATATTGCCCGATGTGTGCTGTCAAGTGCGCTGGCGAGCCTGGCGCACCAAGCACGATTGCCACTGGGGCAACTGGTGCCCTCGGCGGACCTGGCACGCGTGGCGCACCTCGCGAGGCACCGTGCACCTTGCCTGTGTATTGGTTCCCAAAGGCTGTCCGTCCGATGGCGACCTCTGCCTATTCTGAGCCTCGGGTGCTACTTATGCGGTGGGAGGGCGGGTGGGAGTGAACGAGACAGCTTGTGGTGTTCCCGTTGGACATTTGACTCCTCCACCAACCACATCCCCTGGGTCTGGACGGGGGGGGCGCAACGGGTTAGACCGTCCAAGATCCACGTTCCTCAAAGGGCCTCAGATGGCTCAAGATTGTCTCCAAGATGGAACACTATAGCTCAAGATGGCTTTCAGCATGCCTCGGATATGCCCCAATACCGCCACAAGAAGGCTACAAGTGGGTACGGATCCTGGCAATATCCGATGGGCTTCCGAGGGGTCAAGAGAGCTCCCAGATCACCTCAGAGGGCGCCAAGAGGGGCACAGAAAGGCTCCAGGACGGCCCCCAAAGCGCTCAAGAGCGACCCAGAAGGTGTTGTTTCTGGCTCGATCAGGGCGACATGAATTGAGGACTCCTCCGCTTGTGATCGGTTTCTTCTAATATGGCCACCAGAGGGCCCGAAAGGCTCCTAAGAGAGCCCCACAGGCTTCCGAGCCAAAGCTTTCAAGAGGCTCCCAAATCGAAAGGTCAGCGAATGCATGTTTGGTTGACTCCTGGGTCTGCTCAGGCTGATCCCGAACTCTGGCTTCACGGCTGCACACCCTGTTTGTTCCTGCTCCCACACGTCAACACTCTAGGCAACTCGCCAGCGCATTGTTTCCGAAGGGGCTTGCGGGCATACGCGAAGCGCCAGGGCTCGGGTTGCATGGCGCTCGCACTTTTTTCCGCCACGCGCGGAGGCCGAGGTAGAGACGGTGCGGGCCACCTTGGCGCGGCTTCGAGCGCTGACGCTCAGCGGACGGCGAGGCCGCAGCCGATTCCGAGGGAGGAGGCGACTCCTCCCCCCCTGGCGCGAGCGGCCGCTGCTCGGCTGCCGGGCGCTCTGGCCGGGCGCTGGGCAGCGACCGCTCGCGTGGGGATCCTGTGCTGTGAATTGGGCGGTCGCGCCCGGACCCATGCAGAGAGAAAGGAGGAGGAGGAGGAGGAGGCGGAGGAGGAGGATGAGGATGAGGAGGAGGACGAGGAAGAGGAGGAGGAGGAGGAGGAAGGAGGGGGAGGGAGGAGGAAGGAGGAGAGCAAAGGAGGAGGAGGAGGAGGAGGAGGGAGGAGGAGGAAGGAGGGAGGAGGAGGAGAGGAGGATAGGAGGAGGAGGGAGGGAGGAGGAGGAGGAGGAGGAGGAGGAGGGAGGAGGAGGAGGAGGAGGGAGGAGGAGAGGTAGGAGGGAGGAGGATGAGTAGGAGGAGGAGGAGGAAGAGGAAAGATAGGATGATGAGAGGATGATTGATGAGGAGGATGGGTCGGAGGGAGGAGATGATATGATGATGAGTTGATGATGATGATGAGGATGATGCATGCTGATGATGATGATGCTGATTCTGATGCTGATGCTGATGCTGATGCTGATGCTGTTGATGATGATGATGATGAGGAGGAGGAGGGAAGAGGAGGAGGAGGAGGGAGAAGGATGGAGGAGGACAATCACGAGGAGCAACAACAACAGCAGCAAGCGTATGCAAAAAAGGGTCTACGTCCTGATGGAGATCAGGCCACTGCAGACATTGATGAATCCATTCCGCGAGGAGCTTGACTTGTTCGGAGGAGGAGGAGGGAGAAGAAGGATGGATGAGGAGGAGGAGGAGGAGGACGAGGAGCAGCAACAACAACAGCAGCAAGCGTATGCAAAAAAGGGTCTACGTCCTGATGGAGATCAGGCCACTGTAGACATTGATGAATTCATTCCGTTGCTGTAGCGAGGAGGTTGACTTCTTTGCTCCAGTCGGCCTCGACCTGGAGCCACACTGCAGAGGCGTGGGCGTTGCTGCCTCAAGAAAAGCTGCAGCAGCAGCAGCAACAGCAGCCCAGGTCACGACTGCTGGCGCCGCGCGCCCTGCCCCCGTGGCTGGACGGAGGGGCGCGCCGCGATGCGCCTAGGGGGCCGCGTCCACCGCGGGGCGGCCGCCGCTGTGGGCGTACTGGTGCCAGATGGTCGCGACCTTCCTCCGAAGAAGGGGGCAGCTGCTGCAGCATCCACTCTCAGAGGCCCGCGCAGGCTTCTTGGATCGGCGCCGGGCCCTCCCTGCGGCGACTTCGGCGCCGCCCCTGGCGCGATCCGCGCGCTCCTCTTTCCCCGTCCTTCTCCTGTGCGGCCCTTCGGTTTGGGACTCCACCTGCACCAGGGAGTGGGGCAGCGGCGGGGGGGTTGGGGGGGAAAGGGGGGGTCAGCGCCGAGCCAAGATATTTGCGCGGACCTCCGAAGCCTTTCTGTTGAAGCATTTGTTTCTTCTTCGATTCCTTGTCTGCCCGCCGTGGGAGATGGACTCTATCCTGATGCTGTCCTTCGAGAGGGCCATCTCCATGAACCTGGGGAAACCAACAAGGTACGGATACCGCTGCTCCCTGGACCTATCCTTAGGTCGGGCTTGTCCCCCTACAGGGGGATTTTGGACGAAGAATAGAAATACTCGAATCATATTCAAAAGATGCCCCCAAATACTAAAAAAATAGTCCCCAGAGTAATTTTTCACTATTTTTGAATATTCCTCCTGTAGAGGGGCGAGCCCGACTTAAACCGATCCCGGGGTGCATTCTGACCAGGACTTCGAGGTGAACCCAACGTGGCGACGAGGGCCCAAGGAGGCCCGGAAAGGCGAGAACGAGGGAGGGGCAGCGGCACCGGTACCTCCTCCTCCCCTGGGAGCCCGTACTCGTCGTCCTCGCCGCTGCTCTCGGGCCTCTGCTCGGAAGTGACGCCGCCGCCCCCGCCGGACACGACGTAGGCCGTCGGGTCCAGGAAGTCGCTCGCGAGGCGGGAGGGGTCGTCGGGCCAAATCTGTTCCGCTGGGTCGCTGGGGACACGTATGCCCAGACCTCCGAAGCAGTGGCTTTTCCATGCCTGAGTCGGGAGCGGCCAAGAGGGGGGTGTCCAGGAAGGGGGGGTGCAAATCATGACCGGCGGCATGTGCGCGGCCCAGCGGGGGGGCCAGGGACGTAACGAAATAAGAAGAGGCGCCATGAAATCTGGGGAAATATCATGCCCCCCGCCATGATATCCACCCCGCCCCCTAGTCATCACCCCCCTCTTTTCCGCCCCCGACTGAGATCCGGGCGCTGCACTTCTTCACACCGCGCGCTTTTTCGCTCCGCTTCGCTCCAGGATCCAGCTCGAGACGTGCAGCCGAAAGAGGGGGTCCCTAGGGCTCGGGTCGTGGCTTCTCTCCCGCGGTGCTGCATTCTCCCCGCAGCGTCCGAGATTCGGGGTCCAGGGGTCCGCCTTCGGGCCCCAAGATTCGGCGGTGGACAAGCCTCCCTGTAGTAAACCTCCCCCTGGTGAGAACGGCCTGGGACCGAAACCGACGGACCTGGACCCGCAAAAATGACGGCCGCGACGCCCTCCTCGATCGACGCGTCAGGGTAGGAGGTCGCGAAAACGGCCAATTCCTCAATCGACGCGTCAGGGTAGGAGGTCTGTCCACCCCCGACAAGATCACCAATGGATAGCTCCCGGAGCGAAAGTGCCGGCCCCGGGGACGAGGCGCTGAGGGCTCCATATGGAGGGCCGCGTGCCGAAAAACACAAAAAAAAGCAAAGCCACGGGCGTCGGGGCTCCGGGGGCTGTGCTGCGAGTGGCGGTGGCCCGAGATCACGAGGTCGATCTCGTGCCTCCTGGCCATGTCCTGCCCAGGGCTGGACCTAAACGGTGCTTTTCGTTTGCGTTCTGTTTTCGTTTTCCCTCGTGTTTTGTCTTCACTCCGCCTTTAGAACGCAAAACGGAATGAAAACGAAAAAACGGCCCACGAAATCGCCGAAACACCGTGTAGGTCCACCCCTGGTCCTGCCAGTCCAGGTGGCCCCAGTACGGCGGGAAGTGGGTCACGGCGAGGCGCCAGTCCCCGTCCAGCCCCGGAGCGAGGCCGTCGAGCCAGGCCTTCTGCTGCTCCCAGAGCCCCCGGAACCTGGGGGCAGGCGCCCAGAGGGGGGGGGCCCCCAGGGGCGCCTCCACGTCCTCGAGGAAAACATTTTTTTTTGTTTGCTTTCTTCTCTTTCTTTTCATAAAACGTCCTCGAGGAAAAACGCCCCTTCCTGGAGGAAGTGCCCCCCCCCCCCCCCCAAGAGCACTCCCAGAGAGCCTCCCGAGACGACCCGAGACCTTCCCAGATCTCCGCGAGCTTCGATCCTGGCACCTCGACTTCCAGGAGGGGCCGCCGACCCCCCCTTTTTGATGACCCCCCCTTGGCGCTGCCCGGGGACCAGAACGGGCAGTCCCAGATCGACGTGGGGCCGATGGGGTCGCACGTCGCGTCGGGGGGGTTGTGCTGCTGCGAGCAGATGTTGTGGGAGGACGGGTCGGCTGGGTCCAGGGCGTCCCAGACATTCGTGTCCATGAAAATGTAGTCCACCGCGAAATCATAATACCACACCTTCACGCTGTAGTACAGGGCAGGAGTCATCCACCGTCCGGTCGGCGACGCCCACGTGTAGCCGATGGTCTTGTCCCAGCCCATCTCAAACCTGTACCCCCCGTAGTCGTGATTTCCAAGAACGCCCAGCCACTGCTTGCCGTCGATTCCACGGCCAGCATAAACCCTCTCGTAGATCACCTCGAACTGCTGACTGCCCGTGTAGCCGATGGCACCAGAGTTGCAGTGCTCCTCTAAAGGGGCCCTGGGACACATAAATAAATATACACAACTAACAGGATTCCACATATGTTCCTCATACTTTCTGGTTTTTGTCTTCCCCCCCACTTCCCATACTGTTGCATATTATTCCTGGGGATCGACGATTAATTGTGTCTGTGTGTTTTTTCCCCTCCTAATCCTCGACGCCTGCCCAGTAGAAGTTGTCGCCCACGTTGAGCACGTAATCGGGCGGAGTGTGGGCCGCTCTGCTAACCATGGCGTCCCTGACGCGGAACTGGGCTCTGTCGTCCACTCCGTCGACAAACTCTCCGTGCACCCTCTTCGGGGATCTTCTGACCCGGGCCAATCCAGACCCGGGGCAGTCAGGCATTGCAGGATCCTGCGCGATCCTGCACCCAACCCCGGGTCAATGCGCCCCTGGCCCTGCAGGATCCTGCAAGACGCAGCGCTCTGACTGACCCCCGATTGTATTGACCCCCGTCTCTTAAGCCCCGACCTCTGGTGGACTTGGCTCGCCGGTGAGACGTAACTGCCGTCCTCTCCGCCGATGAGCCCGCCCCAGTCGCCAATGATGAAGACGCGGTGCGCGCCGTTTCCTGGTATGTACACGTCGGCCAGCCGTGCTCCGTTGTGCTGGGTCGCGTTCTCTGGCGGCGACCACCAGCGGCCTGGAGGCACAACGCGGCCAGGATAGCTGCCGCACCTTGTCGTCTGGCTGATAACTCGGCCGATCACGCCCCCCGATCTCGTGATCCGATCGCAGCCCTGATCACGATGGCTACCGCGCCGATCACGGATTGATCACACAGGAATGCTCGGACGATCGCGTGATCAAGCCGAACCAGTACGTGATCGGCGATCTCGTGATCCCCTGGTCACTGCGACCTGTGATCGCCGATCGCGTGATTAGCAGACGCTGAGTGCCGCACCCGAGGAGTCCGCAGCTCCACGGAGTTTGATACTTCACGGCGTCCCCAACGACATCGACCTGCCCGGGCTCACACACTGGCTTGCACGCGGCCCAGAACCCGTCCTTGGCGAAGCAGCTGAGGCTGGGATCCTCACAGCACCCCGTCGCCATGCAGTTCTCGCCCGGCCTGGCGCACCACGTCTCGTTCGGCTTCGGCCACGACGCCGGACACTCGGGGTGCGCAACCTTCTCGGGCCTGAAGGCTAGGCAAGTGGACCCCTCGCTGGCCACGCTGGATTCTGGCTCAACGGACCACACCTGTAGAGGAACAAAGAACGGCACAAACATAAACTTCCCGAGGTCCGCGCGGATTTCTTGGATCGGTGCAGGACCCCCCTCCCTGGCGCGCAGGGCGCGCCAGGGGCGGCGCCGCAGGCGCCGTCAGGGGGGCCCAGTGCAGATCAGAACAATCCGCGCAGCGCTCCGAACGTTCGTGTATGTCTTTCTTATTCGAACCTGGCAGCGCTGACGACGGCCATCGAACTCGATGGCCCTGCACACCGAGGCATTCACGCACGCCGACCGGCAGTCCTCCAGCGAGCTCACCGGCCAAGCAACCTCGATGACCATACCGCCGCTCCCAGGAGCGGCAGGCTCCGTCTTGTTCGCCTAGAAGCAGTACAACACTGCACAAGTTGCACAAGTGTAAACTTTTGCAAGCCCGCACGGACTTCCTGGATCGGCGCTGGGCCCCTTTCCCTGGCGCGCTCCGCGCGTCAGGGGCGGCGCCAGAGGCGCCGCCAGGGGGGCCACAGGGAGGGGTGGCCAACGCCGATCCAAGGCATCCGCGCGGAGCTCCGAAAGTTTAGGCTCGTGAAGCTTTTCTCCCTCGATCACCACGTCCCTCGACGCGCGGCAGCTCCTCCCAGACCCCCCGCCGACGGGATGGAACCAGAGCAGCGGCTGCACGGTCGGGGTCGGCGTCGGAGCCGACGCCTTTTCTGCCACCGGGGCCGGCGTCGGGGCCGGCGTCGGCGCTGCAGTGCCACTGGGAGCGCCGGCGCCGCGGTGGCTCGACGTGTTGAGGTCGGGGGTGCCCGCGCCGCCGTGGGCGCGCGCTCCGAGCTCGCCGTGGTGGGTGGTGGTCGTGCTGCTGGCGGCGGGCGGGTCGTCGAGCCAGGGCGTGGAGATGTTCGGCGGCACGCAAGGAGTGACCCTGGGCAGGAGTGGCCCTTTGGTGCGCAGCCTGAGGGGGGCCACACCCCGGCGGGCAGGCCTGTGCTGCCGCACCCGGGCGGCGCGCCAGGGGGGGGGGGGCGGAGGAGTGCGAAGGAGAAGGCCTTCGCAGAAGGCTCGGGAGCTCCCGGGCCTTCAGAGAATGTCTCCAAGCCTTCCACGAAGACGCGAAGAACACCTCTCAGGAGGCCGGAGGCCTTCTGAGGAGCCACGCCGCCTTCTGAGAAGGCCCTCTCCCTCTCACTTCCCCCCCCCCTCGCTCGCCGCCGAATATCGTATGGTACTCAGCGATCGGGGGACCCTGGTGTGCCCGCACCGAGGGCCACTCTGGCGAAGGGCCACCCCTGCGTGTCGCCGAGATGTTGGCCTCCGGCGGTGGGCTCACAAGCCCTCGAGGCCTCGCGATGGCTCGCAGGTCTCCGGCGCGCGGGCGCCAGCACGCGGCGGCGCAGGCCGCCGCGGCGAAGAGGCACAGGGCCGCGACCCCGCAGCGACTGCCAGCCGCGAGGCCCGGGCGTCCGCGGGCGGGCCCGTCCTGGAGGAAGGGGGAAGCACCACGCATCTGGCCATCGCTCGGACGTCCATTTCCTGTGTTTTTTTCGGTTCCGTGCGTGGTTTTTTCGCGAAATGATCAAGGATGCTCCTCGATGGTCCTCGCCGAAGGAAAAATGCACACGTCCGAGCGATGCCAGGACATAAGCAAGAGCCGCCAGAGGCCCGCGCGGATCTCTTGGATCGGCGCTGGGCCCCCCGTCGTGCCGCGCGGAGAGTTCAGAGGGCGGCGCCGGCGGCGGCGCAGGGGGACCCAGTCCCGGCGCCGCCCCTCCGCGCGCGCGCCAAGCGCGCGCCACATCCGGGTGCCGATCCGAGCAGTCCGCGAGGCCAAGCGCACGCCACATCCGGGTGCCGATCCGAGCAGTCCGCGAGGACCTCCGACAGCTGGTGCTCATGCGGCTATTCTTAAGTCGGGCGTGTCCCCCTACAGGGGGATTTTGGGCGAAAAATTAAGAACACTCAAAACATACCCTCCAAATATTCAGAAACAGTTAAAAAATCGTCCCCAGACTATTTTTGGGCTATTTTTGAATATGCCCCCTGTAGAGGGACACGCCCGACTTCAGGCTACTCCTGTCTCGATCGGGGGGGCTGCAGGGGGAGGTCTGGTCCTCATGCCACCCGCAGGAGCGCCGAGAATCAGGATCGACGGGGGACTTTTTTTGGCCGGCGGGTCGAGAGAGGGCCACTTTCGGTTAAGTACTGGGCGGGGCGCGCGAAGCTCTAATTGGGGAGACAGAGCACAGGCGGACGGGGCCTCAGGCGGCCGGAGGGCGGGCGGGGTGCAGGCGGTGCCGCAGGATCGACGGGGGGCACAAAAGGGACGTTTTTTCGGGCCGGTGGCGTGCCTCGGCCCCTCGAGCAGCTCCCCCGGCCCAGATTTACGTCGGGCGTGTCTCCCTACAGGGGGATTTTCGACGAGAAACAAAAAAAAATCAAAAGATACTCCCAAATGGTCAGGACATGCTCCAAAAATAGTCCCCAGACTGATCTTTCTTCTTTAGCTATTCTGGAATCTTCCCCCTGTAGAAATAAAAAGTACCCCAAGGAGATTCGAAACTGGTCAGACAATACTCAAAAAAATAGTCCCCAGACTGATCTTTATCCTTTAATTATTCTTGAATCTCCCCCTGTAGAAATAACAAGTACCCAAAATACACTCCCAAATGATCAGAACATGCTCAAAAGATAGTCCCCAGACTATGCTTGACCTATTCTTGAATCTCCCCCCTGCAGAGGGACAGGCCCGACTTCAGCCCAGATCCGGGGCACGGCCCAGATCGACGAGAAATAAGAAGTACTCAAAAGATACTCCCAGATGGTCAGAACATACTCAAAAACAATCCCCAGACTATTCTTTGACTATTCTGGAATCTCCCCCCTGTGGAGGGACACAGGCCCGACGTAAAAGCCCGGATCCGAGGCACGGCCCGAGGACCGGGAGCCCCTCCCGAGCCCGAGGACCGGAGCCCCTCCTGCAGCGTCTTGGGCCAGAGGAAATTTATAGACACGTTGCGGGCCCGGGGAACGGCTCGAAGACTCCGCGGATCCACGCTCTCGCCATCGCTCGGACGTCCATTCCTCGTGTATGTTTCGATTTCGTGCGTTTTTTTTTTTTTTTTTTTTTTTTTTGTTGCTTTTGTTAGTTTGTTTGTTTTTTGTTTTTTCGCCAAATGGTCAAGGATGGTCCTCGATGGTCCTCGCCGAGAAAAAATGTACACGTCCGAGCGATGCCAGGCGCTGCGAAACACTCATGACGCCCGCGGCCTGGGCCCAGAGCCAACAAAAAAAAGCGCGCGCTCCACTGCTCGCAGGGCGTGCCTGCTCGCAAGCGGCCCGGGCCCGCCGCGCGGGGGAGCTGCGACGACGAGAACGGCGTCGGACCAGGCACTTTCAGCATCACCCTGCGGGCAGGCGCTCTGCGAGCATGCAGCTTGCGAGCAGTGGGGCGCGCACCGGTGAAGAAGGAGCAGGAGCAGGAGCAGGAGGAGGAAAAGGAGGAGGAGGAGGAGAAGGAGGAGGAGGAGGAGGAGGAGGAGGATGGAGGAGAGGAGGAGGAGGAGGAGGAGGAGAGGAGGATGAGAGAGGAGGAGAGGAGGAGGAGGAGGAGGAGGGAGGAGGAGGAGGGAGGAGGAGGAAGGAGGAGAGATGAGTAGGAGGAGGAGGAGGAGGAGGAGGAGGAGGAGGAGGAGGAGGAGGAGGAGAGAGCAGGAGGAGGAGGAGGAGGAGGAGGAGATGCCACCCTCAAGCTGGGCTGGCCGCGGCCAGGCCCGAGGCCACGGGCCACGCGCTCACCAGGCCACCGGTGGACCGCTCCTGCCTCGGTCAGGGGCAACGTCTGGGGGGGGGGATAGGCCCAGGGGTGGGGTGGGAAGGCTCTCCCCTCTCGTCCTCTTCGTCCTCGTCCTCCGCCTCCCTCTGCACGGGCTTGCTCCCCAACCCCACCTTGGGCTAATCCCCCCTGTCCATGCCCCCGACGTTTCTTTTGTTCCTCGGCCACAGGCCCCTCCATCGGGGCCGGTTTCTCATCCCGACCTGTTTTCTGACAACACCGGGGCCCCGCGAGGCCCCCAGGAGGCCGAAAGCAAATTAAACCGTCCCGCCGTGATTCTTTCGAGGTGGGTGAGGGGCAACGATAGGGGGGGACTGGCATAATAGGCGGGGATGCATCGACCTGGAATCGGCGATACATCGTCGGCAGGTCGGCGATAGGCCCCCGACAGCGAAACAACCGCACCTTCCTGGGCGGGTTGGGGCTATCGGGCCCCTGTCGGCGATCAATGGCCGATTGGGGGCCGGTGCACGCCCCCCATGCCTATCCCCCCCTATCCTTGGCCCGAGTGATTCTTTCGAGGTGGGGGAGCCCCTGAATTCGTGGCGTCTCTTCTTCCTCGGCTTCTGCCTCCATCTCCGCCCTGGCCGGGCCGACGAGCGGCTCCGCGTCCGCCGGGCCCCCGATCTGGAGGGTGGCCTGGGCGGCCGATGCCATGGGCCCGTCGGCCGGGGGGGGGGGGGCGGCGGGAGGTCCCTGGGTTAGGTCGGGCATGTGCTACTCCTGCAGGCGGATTTTGGGCGAAAAGTAAATCATAGCCCGAGCATAGTCAAACATAGTCAAACATACCAGAACAAAAACGTCCCCATACTAATGCTTGCTTATTTTTAAAGATATTCCTCCTGTAGAGATTTGGACGCCCGGAATGGGTACGGAAAGCATGGGTACAATGCCCAACAACAAATGTAGTCCCAAACCAACAGCGGCCGCTGTTGGGCAGGCGGTCTTCTGTCTCGAATGGACACAGGCCGCGGCGGCGTGGACAACGAATCCGGTTCAAAATGAGCAAGATCCGCTGTTGGGCATTGTACCCATTCTTTCCGTGCCCTTTCTTTCTGTGCCCATTCTTTCCGTGCCCATTCTTTTTGGGCGAAAAGTAAAACAATAGTCCGAGCATGTTCAAATATAGTCAAACGTGCCAGAAACAGCGTCCCCAGACCATTGCTTGCCCATCTCTGGGAATATTCCTCCTGTGGAGAGACGTGCCCGACTTCACCCTGGGGAGGGGGCGCGGACCCGGCGGGCCGCGACGAAGGAAGGCGGCGGCCCCTCGGGCCAAAGGCAGCTACTGCCACCGCTTCGGGTGAGCGTCCGGAGGCCTCCCGAGCCCGGGGCGCTTGGCATCCGCTGCGCCTCGCCGAGCAGGGCTGGACCTACAGTCGGACTCGACTGGACAGGACACGCGAGAGGACACAAGACCCTTCCGAGGGCCACATTGCCACAGGAACGTGGGAGGCATTGGTTGCGAGACACAGGACACAAGGGTACCCTTGATTTGGTAGGGTCGACCTACTAATGAGGGCTGACTGTAAAGGTTGTGTGTTCGTTCTGTTCTCGTTCGGCCTCTCGTGTAACTCCAACCCTGCTTTCCTGCACCTCCCTGCCAGAGAGAAGACCAGACCGCGGCCAGAGTCCAGCAGAGCAGCGCTCGGGCCCGGCCCCGTCGCCGAGCGCGTTGCGCGGGCGGCGGCGGCGGCCGCCCCCTGTGGGGGCCCTGTGGAGAGGGTCCTCCTCCGCCTCCACCTCCTCCTCCTCCTCCTCCTCCTCCTCCTCCTCCTCCTCCTCCTCCTCGTT